TCCAACACTAACCCTAATAATGAAATGTGATGTGTAGGATACTATGATTTTGACAAAATGATTTTAAACTCAAATTTGGTTGATAACTGCACAGCTCAGATGATACCTTCAAGGACCATCAGAAAGTTGAAATCTGATCATTTGTTTTTACAGTTTCTGCCTGATAAATGGTGGCATTTTAAAGTTATTTTTAAAAAAAAAGATAGTAAGCTGTTCAAACCTGCAGGTTTCCTTTAGGGTTCAGAGGGTTCCTTTGTAGGTAATTCAGTGTGAATAGTACTGCTGCATCCAGGCCGGGGCGTTTTATCCTGTCGTAGAATTGGGACGAGGTGCAGCAGACCACTCTGCAGCTCTGTGTTGATGGTCTGGGTGTTTGCTATCTTCTCGGTCTGCAGGGGGAGCTGTTGAGCCGGCCAGCTGCTTGCAGGTTGCTGCTTTAGCCTGCAAATGTTTGGACAAGAACAAGAGGAAGAGACCAGCCATGAACAAGGTGAGAGCCACACATCAGGTGCTTCAGGTGTCGTATCCACACATCAGCTCCAGTTAGGCCCCAGCAGCGACTAATATGGCTTTCGAGGCAGACACAAACTACTGATAATAGGGCGGCTGTGGCTCAGGTGGTAGAGCGGTTGTGCTCTAAGGTCAGCAGTTCGATCCCCTCCACAGTCGAAGTGTCCTCGGGCAAGACCCGAACCCAAAGTTGCTCCCAATGGCAGGCAGCACCTTGCATGGCCGCTCTGTCACCGTTGGTGTTTGAATGTGTGTGTGAATGGGTAAAGCACTTCGAGTGCCGCTAAGGTAGAATATATAGGTGCAGTCCATTTATCATCATCAGTCAGACCAATAGCTGATATTTGGAACCAATATAAATTAAATATTGTATATTAACAGCAGAGTTTCAGTCATTCATAACAAAATGATTTCATTCATAAGGATTATTATGATTGAATATGAGTGCATGTGACGTCAGGACCTTCTCTGTTAACTGATCGATTGACATCAATTAGGGCTGAACGATTTTTGAATAAAATCTAATTGAGATTTTTTTCCTCAATATTGCGATTTGATATGCGATTATTTTATCTAGGCTCTCTCCATGTGTATGTTTTGACAAAAACAAGAAATAAATCCATATACTGCTTAATGAACTGTATCAGATTTATTTCAAAGCCAGATTACAACAACAAATGAAACAAATCTGTGGCTTTTTCCTTAAACTTGACGAACTTTTCAACTTTGATGAAAATGCATGTAAACATGTTGACTGCTCTTCTTAAACACTGTCTTTGCCGAACAGGACAGTCTATAAACAAACAAATAAACATGCACATAAAATGAAAGTAAAAATATAAAGCTTACTGATCCGGTCAGAAACATCACACACACCAAAGTGAAAAACAATTCTATCCATAAAACCAGTGAACATAAAATAAACTCCAAGAATGTCCTTTGTAAACCTCTGCCTCCCCTCACTGCACGTCACTGCAGGTGAAGTAGCAACCGGAGCGCGGCAGGTTCTGCAGAACCCTTGGCTCTGCATAGCGTCCTCTGTCTTAGAGCCAAAACATTTCCATACGGATGATGTGCTGCTACGCTTTGACACCAAACTATCTGCTGTGTGGGCTTCTGTTGAGGCTGTAGCCACTGTGCAGCAGGTGAAAGCGTCGTGGTGACGTCACTCCCTCTTCGTACCGCTCTGCTCCGCCTCACTCGGCGTAAACAAAAGCAGGTCACGCCGCCTGATCACGTGACCAGTGAAGTCGCGGCCCTTGCGGTTACAAAATCTCGTTCTATCATATCGCGATATTATCGCAAATGCAATTAATCGTTCAGCCCTAACATCAATAACAGTTTGTGTCCTACTGTTTTTTCTGCTGTTCTGTCACTTCTGTTTCTCACTTAGGTCCAGATTGTAAAGTTTGATTTCATATTTACAGAGTGATGGCAGACAGATAGGATGCTGATCAGAAACAGCCGAATCAGAAAAATGCAGAATATCAGCCAGAACAGTCACTTGATCCCAGTTCAGGCTCTGGTCAGGTGTCCCTCAGGGCTCCAGTTTGGATCCTCTGGAGTTCCTCACCTGTGTGTTTTCTCTTCAGGTGTTTTACATACTGGAGGAAATCCAGGCCTTTGTGGGGACAACCAGCTCCTCCTCCTCCTCTGGCGCTCCATCTGTCCCCAGACCTCCTCCCTGTCTGGACTCCAGTGTGGGAGCTCTGTCCCAGCAGCTGTCCACACTGGGACCACTGGAGGACAGCTACCCATCATCCCAGTCCTCCCAGTCCTCCCAGTCCTCCCAGTCCTCCCACTCCTCCCAGTCCTCCCAGTCCTCCCAGTCCTCCCACTCCTCCCAGTCCTCCCAGTCCTCCCAGTCATCTCTCTGCTCCCTTCCCCCTCCTCACCCCCTTCGTTCCTCCTCCTCCCTCCCCCCTCTGTCCTCCTTGTCCTTCCTGGGTCCATGTGAGACGGATGAAAGTCGAGGTTTCTCCCAGTATGACCTCAGTTCCCAGTTTAACGGCACCAGCAGCAGAGACCAGAACCCTCATCCACACCCGTCTGTCCCCACAGAGGACCGGTACAACTTCCCCCCACAGCCCAGCAGCACCAGCGACAGTGCAGCAGGAGCCACAGCAGGAACCACAGCAGGGTTCTGTGGGTTCTCTCCTGCAGGGTCCCTGCAGTCAATGTTTCCGGTCCACTCAGGTACATCAGCAGTAAACGCTTTGAACCTGCCAGAGAGCCTCAACAGTTCTATCAGTCAGAAGCTCAAAACATGAAAAAACTTGTCAGAGTTTCACATTTCAGACAGTCCTTGAACGTGTCATCTGTGATGTTTGGCTCCATTAGGAAAATTAACCAAATCTGACCTAAAAATTATATATTTTATCAAAACCACTTTATTCTACTTTTGTCATTTAACAGTTTTCCAAGAATAAACTGTTCTGACCAACATCCGTAAAATCACACAACTGATTTTCCCTCAAAATCTCGACAAAAAGAAGAAGCTGTCTCTGAGAGAAATAAAACATCCAAGACAAGAAACAGCCAAATGGAGAGCAGGCGTCTCAGTCTGGAGAGGCTGTAGAAATGCTCACAACATTTGTTCCAGTGTTGGAAACATCTGGGGAGCCTTGGAATCAGCTGGACATGTTGATTCCAGGTTTTTTTTTTATATTTCTTTTTTGTAAAATGAATAATTAAACTGTGATTCCTGTCTTAGTGTATGTGTAGGTTGAGGTTCTGACTGAGTCCTACTGACAGAGGACCTCTCTGAGTTCATGTTGCTGCACAGCTTCAGTTCGCTGAAGTGAAAAAGTATGACATGAAAATAAAACCTGATTATTGTTTCAGTTCACATGAATCCCAGAAAGCAGCGGCTGCTGGAGAAGAAAGCTCAGTACGAAGAGGGAAGAATCCAAACTCCTGAGCTGCTGTCGTCTGATGATCTCTGTACGTTCTTCATCTGTCTCCATTCAGTTACAAACTGCTTCATTCTTCTGTGGAATCTTCATCCAGCTCAGTTTTACTGCAACAACACCAACATGACAGGAAAATCTTTTTCACAGCTGAGCGATGGAGGTTTTAAATGTGAAAAAACACTTCTTGACTGTGTGTTTTCTTTGTTTGTGTTCCTGCATCTGAAATGTCCAAACTGTGTACCTGGTGGACAGACTCAGCCCCTCATGGCTCCCCAGTCACATTGGGTCATCAGAATTTACCTCTAGAGGGGGACAAGTACCTCATCCACGTTTTGTTGCATTCGTAGCCAGTTTTTTGAAAAATTGTTCAAAATCCAGGTAGCAGATGTTTTGGTTCATTAATATCCAGGTTTTAGACATTCTGGAGGGTTGATATTTGGGATGTCTCTGTCACATTGATTCATTTTCTACCAGGAATAAATTAGCTTAACAAAAATGTCGAGGTGGGGAAGTGTAAAATGTTGCGTGTATTTTTATGCTTTCTCATCTCATTTCGTCTCGTGCTGGTTTCTTCATGTGTTTGGTTTCAGATGGACAGGAGAGTTCTGACTTCAGAGGACCAGAGGAAAGCGATGAGCTCGAATATCTTCCTGCCAAACACGACTGATTGTGATCCCCACAGGAACCAGAGGACCAAAGATGAACGTTTCCGTTCACACTTGTGAATGATCTCAGAAGAAGCTGCAGCTGTTTCCAGCTGTGCCTTTACAGTGAAACCTGCTGAGACAGAGTTCAGAGAACCAAAACCAACATGAAGAGTTTTATTTGTCACATGCCCACACGTCCTGGGCAGTAAAACCCAAAGTGCCTGATCCACACAGCTGTGCATTAACAGGAGAGGAAACCTTCTTTAAGAACAGAAAAGGTCAAATGACATCCAACCAACATTCCCATCAGCTCTGCTGGACTGCAAACTGTCAGCAACTATTTATTGATCATGTTCACTCATTTTTAAAGTTACATATTTTTAATTATTGTCATTAAATTCTGAAATAATACATATGCGACATGTGAATGTGCCTTAGCTGATGTTTGATGTTGGACCACTGTGAATGTGATTTGTGAAACTTGAACAAACGGTTTGCATCAGCACAATAAACACATTCTTATTCCATGTCTCTGTCATTTGTTGTTGGAGGCAGCTTCTGTGACGCTTGTCAGATAAATCAGGTTGTGTTCTACAGTTATTATCAAAGGTCTGGTCATGTTTCACGGTTTTACTGAACGTTATTTAAAGTTCCATTCGCCCTTTCATGCAATAATAAGCAGGTTTCTGACATGTGGGTACCTTACTATCTAGGTTTTAATGTTTTATTACATCAGCTGGTGTTTTAATTTCCAGGGTTTGTAATAATTCATGTTCTACAGAGATGATGTGTCGGACTACAGCAAACGTGCATCTATTATATGACCTGTGAACCAAGAGTCGCTGTTAGCCGTTAGCCGTTAGCCACCTAGCTTCGCTGCCATTACCAGCCAGCAGTGTGGTAGCTGTTAGCACCAAGATGGCGGCTCGGGTCTTCGCGGCTGTGCGTGTCTGACAGCAGCCTGCAGCCTCCGCGGAGCTTCTCTCCCCGTTTCTGTGTGTTAGCCTGAGCAGCTACCGGCGGCTTCGTACCGACTGTCCGCTGCAGGCTGCCTGCTGGCTCACACCCGGTGCTCCGTGTTAGACCCAGCAACCGACCGGATCTCCTGAGGACGTAGTTTATCCTCCGGGTTTAGTAAAAGAGTCTGAGTTTCAGTCACGAAGCCTGTCTCTGATCCCGCTGTCAGCAGCTAGTTAGCTACCCACACAGCTTCTCTCCTGTTAGCCGGCTAGTTAGCCCCTGGAGCTAGTTAGCGGGCTAATGCTAATCCAGAACCCCTTAAAGACTCCCGACTGAATTTGGATTTGAATCCCGCACTGAGGATCAGGAGGAGTGAACTCACACCGTGGCGTCATGGCGGCCGAAGCAGCGACCCCGGCGGTGCTCCAGCCCCGTTGGAAGCGCGTCCTGGGCTGGAGCGGGCCGGTTCCGCGGCCCCGGCATGGACACCGGGCCGTGGCCATCAAGGAGCTGATGGTGGTGTTCGGTGGAGGGAACGAGGGGATCGTAGACGAGCTGCACGTCTACAACACCGGTAGGACGTTCATGTCTATGTTCCGTTTCATTATTTGATTTTCATGTCTGCGTGAAGAGATGCTCAGAGGAAGCTAACGGCTACTAAGCTAACTCTGCTAACGAGCTAACGAAGTCGGACGCTGAGACTGAACTTAGTGCTGCTTTAGCCTGCTAGGGTAGTTCAGCATTTCCTCGCCGAAGCTAACAGGCTAGCCGCTCCGCTAACATGGATTAGCAGGTAGCTAACAAGCTCAGCGGCTCCGGCAGAAACAGACAGAAATGGCGCGTTTTTACTGAAAACACTGGTGACGCCACAGAGCCACGCCCCCTCCGTTGCTGCAGCGGGAAACGCTAAACAACAAAACAACAACAAAACAGCAACAGAAAAAACAGAAACTTTCTTTCACTTTCAGCACTTTTTCAATAATCCTGGAATCACCATTTATATAGGATTAATATTCTATTCTATTTTATTTTATTTTATATTTTTTTTATTGTTATACTGTATTTAGACTTTAATTATTATATTTTTTACTGTGAAATACCAGCATGATTTTGCACATTAGTTTCCTCTTATTTCCTTAATGTAACGTGCGAACGACTGCATACCTTTATTTCCTCAAGATGAATATACGATCATTTGTCTGTCTGTCTCTGCAGAGGACAGTGTCTCAGTGTTTCTCTGTCTCTGTCCCCCCTCCAGCTACCAACCAGTGGTTCGTCCCAGCGGTCCGCGGTGAAGTCCCGCCCGGTTGCGCCGCCTATGGCTTCGTGTGCGACGGGACTCGGCTGCTGGTGTTTGGAGGGATGGTGGAGTATGGGAAGTACAGCAGCGACTTGTACGAGCTGCAGGTGGGTGACCTCACTGCGAGGAGCAGGGAATACGCACCCAATGACCAATCAGCTTCTGAGACTGATTGGTCAGCATACTATGAATATTTTACATTTTTATTTTCAGTTCTACCTTCGTACTGTGAATATTCCCAGAGTTCCAGGCCCTTGACAGGACTCCAGACTAACTTTGTCACTGGTAGCACAGGTGTGACCCACTTTCTCATCTGGTCTCACTTCCCACCTGGTCACAGGAGAAACATCTGACCTGCTGAACATGTTCTTATCCATAGACGCTACAGTTTACGATGTTCCCCGAACGCCCCACATAGCAGGCTGTGCTAGCTGCTGCTGGAGGCCGCGGTGCTCAACAAACAGCGTGTAGCTGAACTCCGTTTGTCACCAGAACACCTCTAAGCTCAATCCCGAAGTTCTACAGTCCTGTTTTCCACCACTGTGGTTAACTCAGCAGCTGTCTGTGTCAGTTACAGCAACGCTGATACAGCTCCAGTCGCACCAATACGAACACTTGAAATTCCAACTCACACACTCCCAAAAGCCCTGCATGAAGTCCACAGAGGAGGGTCCAGATTGATCACTTTAATGGATTTTTCCATCATTCCTGAGCCTCAGAACTTCATCAGTACAGCAGATAGACACATGACATTTAGGAGGAAGAACACATCTGGGTTCTGCTAGAACCTGACACCAAGCACTGTCATATAAATGTTAACATATATTAAGAGAGGGAGAGAGAAATCAGCTGGTTCTGACGAGATCAGGTGTGTTTAGGTGTGTTTGATTGGTTCAGGTGTGTATAAGGGTTTCAGGTAGTTCAGGTCATCAGTACCTGTAACCTCCTTAGGCGAGTCGCTGGGAGTGGAAACGTCTTACGGCCAAAGCTCCGAAGAATGGCCCACCCCCCTGCGCCCGCCTTGGACACAGCTTCTCTCTGATTGGCAGTCGCTGTTACCTGTTCGGAGGACTGGCCAATGACAGTGAAGACCCCAAGAACAACATTCCAAGGTAGGACACACTGAGCTTGGTGTGGACACAGACCTGAAAGCTGCCGGTCCAGATGCAGACCCCCAGTATCTTCTGTCACCTCACCTGTTCCCTCTAGCCTCACCTGTCCACTCTAACCTCACCTGTCCCCTCCAGCCTCACCTGTCCCCTCTAGCCTCACCTGTCCACTCTAGCCTCACCTGTCCCCTCTAGCCTCACCTGTCCACTCTAACTTCACCTGTTCCCTCTAGCCTCACCTGTCCCCTCCAGCCTCACCTGTCCACTCTAACCTCACCTGTCCCCTCTAGCCTCACCTGTCCACTCTAACCTCACCTGTCCCCTCTAGCCTCACCTGTCCCCTCTAACCTCACCTGTCCACTCTAACCTCACCTGTCCCCTCCAGCCTCACCTGTCCCCTCCAGCCTCACCTGTCCATCCGTTCTTAGGTACCTGAATGACCTATACTGCCTGGAGCTGCGTCCAGGTTCCAGTGTGGTCGGCTGGGAGATCCCGGTGACGTCGGGCATGGCTCCACCCCCTAGAGAGAGCCACACAGCGGTGGTGACGAGCAGCAAGCTGATCATCTACGGGGGGATGAATGGCTGCAGGCTTGGAGACCTGTGGCTACTGGACACAGGTGAGACACCTGAGCTCACCTGATCATCAGGTACACACTGAACCATGCTGACCTCTGATTGGCTCTGTTTTCATGACATCACAGACTCTCTGGTGTGGAGCAAACCAGCCGTCAATGGGACCGTCCCCCTCCCCCGCAGCCTGCACTCTGCCACCGCCATCAATAACAGGTACGACAACAGACACACAACACAGACAAATGCAGGCAATAATTGTACTAAGGGCTCACCTGCTCACCTGTCTGCAGGATGTTTGTGTTTGGAGGCTGGGTTCCTCTGGTGATGGATGATGTTAAAGTGGCGACTCATGAGAAGGAGTGGAAGTGCACTAACACACTGGCCTGTCTCAACTTGGGTACACAACAACACACACACACACATAAACACACACACACACACACACACACACACTTACTCATTGTCTGTCTCCTCACCTGTGTGCTCACCGGTGCACAGACTCAATGTGCTGGGAGACGGTGCTGATGGACAGCATTGAGGACAACATCCCGCGGGCTCGAGCCGGTCACTGTGGCGTCGGCATCAACTCCAGACTGTACGTCTGGAGCGGCAGAGACGGGTACCGCAAGGCCTGGAACAACCAGGTGTGCTGCAAGGACCTGTGGTACCTGGAGACAGGTGAGGGCTCACCATATACAGCACCTGTGTTGCTGTTTGCTAGTGCAGGTTTTACCTGAAGACAGGTGAGGACAGGACACTGTGTGTGTTTTGTTGAGTGCTGTTTACTCGTTTCACCTGTGCGTCCTCAGAGCGTCCCTGCGCCCCCTCTCGGGTGCAGCTAGTTCGGGCGAACACGTCGTCTCTGGAGGTGAGCTGGGGGCCGTCTCAGACCGCAGACACCTACCTGCTGCAGCTGCAGAAGTACGACATTCATGCCTTACCTGCCTCCAGCCCCGCCCCCACACCTGGAGCTAGCTCCCCCAAGATCCCCACCCCCATTGCCATGACACCAGCTAACCAGAGTGTCCCGCTACCCAGCGTTACACTTGTCCCCTCACCTGCCACCTCCATACCTGGAGGCGTGCCAGCCGCAACTACCAAAGCACCAGGTGGGTCTACACATCTGCACAGGTAGATGCAAAACAGGTAGACATGCCGCTCCTTCACCTGTCGGCCTTGTTTCTGCAGCAACCCTGAAGGTGGCAGCAGCTCCAGGCACAGTGGGTGGAGCTTCCATCATCACGGTGAGACAGGCCACACCCAAATCTCCAGTTGCTGTGTCGACGGTCCCTGCAGGTGTTGGTATGGTGGTACCTGCTCAACCCAGTCAGACGGTAAACGCATCTGCATGATTCTGACCATACTTGCTTCACAGCTTTCACTACACCTTGTGACATCTCCTTCCTGTCTGCTCTCAGCCAACTGGCAACAGTCCTCAGATGAGTGGCATGGCGGCGCTGGCGGCGGCTGCTGCAGCAACACAGAAGATCCCTCCGTCCATGCCGGCCATACTGAACGTCGCCGCAGGAACGTCAGTCGTGAAGACAGTCAGCGTCAGTCCAGGATCCAGCAGTGTGAAAGTGGTAAAGCTCTGAGGACACACAACTGACCACAAGCACCAACACAAACACAACACCAACAGTGACAGTCTCAGGTGTGTGTCTTGCCCTCTCTCAGGTGAGTAACCAAGCCACTCGAACATTGAAGACAGCAGCTGCTCAGGTGGGCGGGGCCTCTGTCGTCTCTGCCCCTGGGACGCCCAGCCGACCAATCATCACAGTCCATAAGTCGGGCACAGTGACAGTGTCTCCGCAGGCGCAGGTGGTCACCACAGTGGTGGGCGGAGTCACAAAGACCATCACACTGGTGAACAGCCCTCTGAGCGTTGGAGGGGGCGGAGCTCTGGTGAGTGACAGATCTCACAAACTATCATACCTCCAGCTGACCAATCAGAGCAGACTGTGCTGTTCAGGAGGTGGCGCTGCAGCAACATTCAGGAAAATAATGTTTAGAAACACTAAGCAGGTAAACATGTTCTATTAAGCCTCAAACACATAATGACAAACCTGGAAATGAGCAGAGTATGGGCTCTTTATGACAGTCGTGTTCGTTTTTATTCATGTAAGTGTGAGAACATGTTAAGGGAACGACCGCGTTTAAATCCCAGACAAGTCCCCTGGAAATGGGCAAAATTGCTAAAACTGTTGAATTTATAAAACTCTTGTGGTAAATTCAGTCCTGTGATAGAATTCATCCAGATTCTCCAAGTAGAAGCACAAATCTAAAAACATTCGTAGTAAACAAACTCAGGAATTAGTTTTTGTTGGACAGTGTATGTACAGTCCTTAACTCATGTACTACACCTCCACCCAGTGTCAGGTTTATGCCACAGCCGCCCTAAACTAACAGCATTGCTAATTAGCAACATCATTTATTATGTTTCTGCCATGATTAATGCACCAGCATGTAGAAGCTCTTTAACCAGAATGATATTTTAATGTTAAAATCTAATTATTATTGTTATACATGAATTTTCAAATTCAGTTTTACAAAAAAATTTTAAAGCACATTATTATTTCTTGACTCAGATGTCAGATTCTAGTTATTTACCTTCATTCCTGACCGGACTGTGACTGGGTCGGTCCTAACCCAGAAACATTAGTTTTAGTGGCTGAATGTTCAACATGGTACAACGTGGAGAACTGAGTCCACATTAAAGCTCTTCATGATGCTGGACGGTCTCTGAGACAAACAGGGAGAGACATGAAGCGTTCTCACAGTGTGGTCAGGTAAGATCTGGAGTCAATTAACGAGACTGGTTCTTAGAAGATGCTCCAAGGAAGAGGCAGGAAAACAAAGTTCACTGAAGTAGATGTGGACACCTCAAGACTTGAAGGACTAGAGACAGAAGGAAGAGCACTGCTGATCTTCAGCCAGAGATGCTTCTAGACCAGAGTCTGAGAAGGTCTCCAGAGTGACCATAAGAGACGACTGATGGAACAAGGCTTAGAGGGAAGAAGAGCTGCTGAGAAGCCTTTACTGAGGCCTGCAAACATCCAGAAACACAAACACTGGACTGTTGGTGACTAGAAGAAGGTCCTCTGGATGGACGAGTCCAAGTTTGAACTCTTCAGTTGGTATC